GGGGGGGTGGGGTACCAGAAAGTTGTGTGTGTGTGTGTGATTTTTCACATGCAGGTGGGTAAGAGATAAACCCTGCATGTAATCCCCTGCCTGACAGCAGTTATGTCATGATATACAGTGTGAGGCAAAGGCCTTCACTCCCTTAGCAACAATTTGCCACTCCTTTTTCTCCCCAAATTCTTTGTCACCTCTACATCTAACCAATGGCTGTTAAGCACCATTAAAATTGCTTCAAATACATATATTTTTTACTGCTGTTCTTTTAATCAAACACACAAAATAATTCTTTTAAAAGGCCGTTTGTTTTTCTGATTGCAGGGGAAAAAAAAAATTTAAAAGCTATTTGTGCCCCTGCCCCAGCACATCTTCAGGTCATTCGGGTGGCTTGGCCAGAGCTTCTTTCACATCTGAACGCTGGCCCAAGTTCATGAGTAAGACAACTGCACTCAGCCATTTCCTGTAACAGTTTTGTGGCTGAAAACCCCGTATGATGACGGTTTCTGTTTGAGAGATAAGGAAGTCCAGGCTAAGTCTGCTGACATCTGGGGCAGCAGAGGAGATGTGCAAGCATTAGAAGGGCCAAGAGAATTCTTGGGATTCGCTCCTAATACCCAGGTGTTACTTGCTAGAGTGTATAGACATTGCAATTACTGCATTTATAAAGCCCTTGGTGGCAGGTGTGATTGTGCACTTGCTGTTTCATATACAAAGATTTCTTAGAGTACCTCCTGGCATACCTCCCCCAGCCTTTGCTCTGAGGTTCCCAAACCTCTGTATCCTGAAGGTTTTCAGTGCCACCTCTTGGCAGAAATAATTAAGCTGGGATGTCATGTTTATCTTGGCTGAGGTGTCTGGAGGTTCAGGTTTCCTAAGTCTGTGCTCCATGGACAGCTCTCTAAAGGGGAGGGGGGAAGGTGTTCCTCTAGTCCCATATCCAATTTACTTTGACAAGCACAATCTCCCACTGGCCCAGGGATGCTGTCCTTCAGGGGAGCAGCTCTGCTGAACCCCTGCCACCACAGCAGCCTCATTTAGAGCACATGGGATTGCAAGTCCTGGATGCAATGACAAAGGCAGGATATGCGCTCTCTGCACCCACATCCTGGTAGAACAGGGCTAAAATGGTTTAAGTAGTTTGTTAAAAGTAGATTCAAGCACCCCAGGAAGAGCACATGTGAGAGTTTGCTGCTCTCTTCCCATTTTCATGCTTGCTAAGAGGGTTCTTGATGGGGAATATGGGCTGCCAGAATTGTCCCCAGCCTTGTCCAGCTTTCAGACCAGGGCTGGTGATGGACTGAAGAAGTTAACTCTGAAACGGCTCATGTTGAAGAAGGTCCTTGAGTTCAGTTTTCAATACATGCTCAGCTCATGGCCCTGCTTAATCAGAATGGGAAGCTCTGTTGCTAACTGAGCATCAGACAACAGTGTAAGCAGAGCTACAGCTGAGACCCATGAGCCTGAATGTGGGGAGGTGATGAACAAAAATGTAGGAAATCCAAGACAGGCTGACTGCTTTCAAACCCAATGAAGACAGTTCAGCCTGCCATCTGTTTGTATTGCTGTACAGATGCTGTATCAGCACCCCACAATCTTCACCCGGTCAGACTCAGCATGGGGGATGCCTCTGGTGAAAAAACTGCTCACAGCAGCGTAAGTTGCAGAGGGTAGGAAAACCTTCTCTGCCAAACCATGGGAGTGTAAATGTATCCAGATAGTACTTTGCTGCTGGAGCAGATTTTTCTTGGTGTTAAATGTAGCTCTGACAGGCACTCACAGTGGAGAGTGTTCTGTGGAAGATGCATTTGCCTTGCTAACAGAGGGCAGCAGGAGCATAAGAGGGGAGGAAGTCAGAGTGCATCATTTCCTAACAGCAGTCAGCATTTCTTCTTTGGTTTCCCCTCCACAAACCATCAGCAAACGAGTGTCACTAATACACTGGGTCTTTGGGGGCACGTCTCTTGTCAGCAGGTCAAGGGTTAAATGGTGCTTCCTTTTTGACACGTACAATGTGGCTTCCTGTTGTAGTGTCTCCCTTGAGTTCTACATCAGGGCATTGCCCTTTTCTCTCTTACGCACTGTGACTCTGTTTCCACCACTGCCAGCGTAACCATCTCCAAACTCAAGCATGAGCTTAGTTTCACAATGTCTTCCGCAAGCTTGTGTTAGTCTGGGGGCAGGAAGGTCACTTGTGTGCAGTGGGAGGAGGCTGCACTAAGGACACAGCTCTCAGCAGCACCAAGAGCACCCTGCACTCCAGGGAACAGCACAGAGCTTTGCCATAAAGCCAGCAGCTGGGTTACAATGCTCCCACAGTCCCCTGGTATTTCCACAGACTTGCTCCTACTGGGCAGTTCATCTGGCTCTAAACTATTGCAATAAAACATATTTATGTCCTTGTCTCTTTTTGATGGAGCTAAGCTTCAAACCAGCTGCTCTGGCCCAGCAAGATTCTGCCATGCTACAGCCAGAGAAGCTGCCTAGCCTGTCTTTATCCTCCCCCTTGGAGGGGTACCGTGCCAGACAGCTAGTTGTCTTTAAAGACTTGGTATTGACATTTACACAAGTCTTAAAAAAAGAAAAAGGGTGTCTTTGTTGAAAAATAATTGCAGCTGGCGTGTTCCTTTGGTACAGATAAGTCAGAGCAGTCACCAAGTTAAGTACTCTGGCTTCTGGAACAGGGATGCGGGCAAGCCCTTCCAGCCAATGCATTAGTCACAGATCTCTCTGCTCTGATGTTGCTATGCAGTCTTGAGGGGAGGAAAGGCTCAAACTTCGTAACACAGGAGAAGCATGCTCAAGAGAGCATAAGAAGAGGGTGAAACATTCAGGACATGTCCATAAATGCTTTAATAGCTTCCAGCTATTTCTGGTGTGGGAGTCTTCTTGAGACCATGGTGATGTCTTTATATTTAATGAATAAGGTTCAAGTGGAAAGAGATCTTTGGCTGTCTGCTCCAAGCAGGACCGCTCTCACAGCTAACTGAGGTCACTCAAGGCCTCATCTATGTGGATGCTGATGACCTCAATGACGGAGATGCCACCACATCTCTGTGCCATGTCCCAGGGTTGCACTGCTCTCCTGGTGAAAAGACACGGTCCTCAGGAATCAAAGGAGCTCTCAGCAGTGTTGCAGTCTTGCTAAAGCACCCTGTTTGTTCCAGCTCCTAGCCAGATTCAGCACATATGGATGTGAGGGGACAGGTAAATGGCCATAGGACAAAAATATTTCAGGGCTGGCACATCCTAACCCATGTGTAGTTCAGGGCAAGGGAGCAGCTGCTGTTTGCATACAGCAAGGTACTTGCCATTCCCCAAGGCATCCTGCAGTAAAGGGTAGAGTCATAGTCCCAATACAATTGCTGGAAAACCCTGCTGCCTAGAGCTGCAGACCTAAACTAACCTGCAGCCCACCTTCCAACAACATCCATCAAGGTCAGCCTGAGCAAACCAGACTTCAGTTTTCTTCCCAGCAGCCAACATTCAGCAGTAGGGAACTCATGATCTCCTGAGCCTGATTTCCATCTTTATGGTCCCTGCCAGGACAAAACTGGAGCATTATCAGCAGGAGTGTAATTCCTTGGTGTTTGTGTGGTGACACTCCAGCTCTATGGAGACAGGGACTTTTATAGGAAGACATATAATAGCCCTCCCCAGCCCCACTCAGGGTTTTACGACTGTTCCCCTGTCACACACTGTTCCCCTGGACGCCTGGCAGGTGTTGCTTCTCCTGCATTTCCATACTTGTGATTTGTTGGCATCTGGGAGACCATCAGAAATGCGGAGTGTTTATGAGCTCAGCTAAATGTGATGGTGTGTCAAGCCAGGGCTCAGGGTAGCTGGAGGTGATGTGGTGACAAAAACCATGAGAGACACCTTCCACCCTGCCCTCAACAGCACACACGGTCACTGGGGTATGACATCTTGGCACAGGTCTCCCTCTTGGGCTGAGGACTGTCACAGCCTAGCTTTACTTTCTCCAAGAAGCTGTCTCCAAGCACATCAACTAACAATAGGAGGCAAACTAAAAATAAATAAATCTATTGAACCCTCCACTCCTCCATGGTGGCTTCTTCAGGAGAACTTCACTTCAGAGACCAGAACAATTCTCACTTGAGTGTTTTATGGTCGTGCAAGCAATTATAGCAGACATGTACTAACTTTTAAGCTGGTGATCAACAAGATTTCTTAGAAAACCAATGAATCTACACACAAATCTTTCAGTGCTTCTAAATGCCCTGCAATAACATCCCAGTGCGGGTAAACAGTGAGCCATAAAGCCAGCAGGGATGCACTCACTGAGGGTTAATAGCAGGATGACTGAGCATTTTATTTTTCCTTTTTTTAGTTTTGGTGTTACTGCAAGGAAACACGGCTGTTGTTCAGGCAAGCTGTGCTATGAGTGTTAATTCTGCTAATAGGTATCCTTTTTAATCTAAAATTGAGAAATTGAGTATTTATTAACAGTTTAGTACAAAAATCTTTTGTCATTACTTATCTGCATCAAACTGGATTTAGTGTTTAACCACTTACCTCAAAAAATACAAGCAATGCACACATGACTTGGTGGCCCACTCTGAGACTT